ACAATTATTTTAAAAGCTTTAGAATTATTTTATAAACTCATTTTATTAATTAAAATATTCTTTTAATAATTTATAAAACTTAAGATGTCTATATTGAACATCTTTTAAAAGTTAGAGAACCAAATTAGATCATTTTAAAATAGTGAAACTAAATCGAATATTTCATAAATATAGGAGCTAAATTAAACAAAAAATTATTCAACATTTTTTTCTCAAGATAAATTTAAATTTTCTTTTACTTATTCAATAAATTATTTTATTAGATAACCATTTCATTTTGTAATATATGTATTTTTTTTAAAAAAAAATTTAAGTACTCATCTTATTGTCATTCATGATAAGAAGATCCAAATTTATCTAGATATTTTTTTTTATAGAATTTTTATTATTTAAGTTGATCCTATTATTTTGAAAGTATTCAATTTAGTCATACTATTTTTAAGATGTTTAATTTGGTCCTCTAATTTAATATTTATAATCAATAAGATATAATTTTTTATTTACTAAATTATAAAAATATAATAGTAAAATAAAATAAAATAAATTAATTTTACATATCACATATTAAACATATTTTTCTATTAATAATTAATTATCTACTATCGAGAAAATTATTAAATATTATATTTTCCTTGTCTGTCTTCCAACTATAAAAACTACTTTTCAGACACTTTCCCTCGCTCAAGCACAAGTTTCAATCTTTACTCAGTCTCTTTGCCAACCAATTCTTGCCTCCAATCCCAATTCTAAAATCACATTTTTCTTCTTCTTCTTCTGGGTATTGTTAGAAGAAACCAAAGCTTGGGTCTTTTCAAGAACCTCTGAATCTTTTCCTTCCAAGAAGATATAGCCAACGAGGGATGTTTTCGTGCATTGCAAGTCTAGTTTCGTCGTGCCTGAACTCTGCTCCCGTTATCAGCGATGATGAATCTTCTTCTTCCACTTCTGCAGACCCTCTTCTGTGGTGTAGAGACCTTGAGAGGCATTCTTGTGGCGAAGTCTCCTTTGCTGTGGTTCAAGCCAATGATATAATTGAGGATCATAGCCAGGTTGAGATTGGCACTGGTGCCCTCTTTGTTGGGGTTTATGATGGCCATGGTGGTTCTGAAGCCTCCAGCTTCATCAAAGAACACCTCTTCCATCACCTAATGAGTGAGTCTTTTGAGTTTCTTTGGATGTTTCTGGTTTCTAAAACTGAGTGGAATTCAGTTTGCTTTCTTGATGCTTTTCTTTTGGCTTTTTCTTCCATCTGCTACTTTTCTTTTGAATCTTTGAATTTTTTTTTTTTTTTTTTTGGAAAGAGGGAGGGATGGAATGTAACCAAATGTTGATTGAATATCCAAGAATTGTATACTAATGTTTGTAATTATGTGTATGTGTGTAATATGGAAACAGTAACTTCTCCCTTTAAGATGATAAAAAATTGGCATACATATTGTGATATCTTGGACACATGCTACAAATAGATTTATCTGCCCATTTAGGATTGATATGGTTCATGAAATTCCATGTAGTATGTTTTATTATTTTAAATTTCTATTTTAGTTTTTGGAGCTAATTTGATTGGCGTTCTGCATTTGTACTGCATCGGTTAGAGCAATTATGGATGTTTTCTGTGGAACCTGATTACAGGCATCGCTGAGGATAATGGAACTATTACATCAGAAATTCTCAGGAATGCTGTTTCTGCTACAGAGGATGATTTTATGGCTCATGTTGACACGAGTTTTATAACAAATCCGTTGATTGCAAAAGTTGGTTCCTGTTGTCTGGCTGGTGTTATCTGGAAAGGGACTCTGCATATCGCGAATGTTGGTGACTCTCGTGCCGTAATTGCTTCCACAGGTAGATGTAACAAGATAAAAGCTGAGCAGTTGTCTATAGAGCACAATGCTAGTAGGCAAGATATTAGAGAAGAACTCAGGGCTTTGCATCCGCAAGATCCACACATTGTAGTTGTCAACCGTGGATCATGGCGCGTTAAAGGCATCATCCAGGTTTTGTTTTACAATTTTACCTTTAGAAAGTGTTTGTTAGTAGTTTATGTTGCATTTGCCTCTTTTAAAAAATAACTCATACTTACATATAACAGTTTTACGCCCCTTGGATTGTTTATGGAGCTTTTTACATATTTTCTTACATTTTTCATGTCATCTTAAAGAGTCCAAGCAATGCAATTTTTCCTGTAGTCTTCATAATGAGTGACTAGGAACTATTTGTCTCCTTTTTTTGTAGTGCATATTATGTCATCATTTGATGGGTGGACGGTTTGTGATTTGTGACATTGCTCTTCATCTTTTGTGGACATCTTCCTCTAGTACATGATAATTGACCATGCTTGTTGCAAAATCATCAAATGTTAAATGTATATGTTTATATCGCGATGCATTCTCTAAATTTTATATCAAATGTAATAGGTTCTGTTACAACTCACTATATTATATTAGATGATTGTCTTTGGACTCATTTGAGTTAGTGGAAAATATAACTAATTGATTAGGGTGTACCCTTCTTAGCTTTGTCAAAATTAGCTTTCTAGAAAGTTGTCTCTAAATTCTATTATATGCTAAAATTATCAGGTCTTTCTATTTATGCAAGCCATATTTCATTGCTGCTTTCATTTCTGTTCACTTCTAAGCTAGTCATTGTTTTTTTTTTTTTTT